TATATATATCATCAAGCATTGTTATATATCTATATACACACACATACACACGAGTAATGAACTTTAAATTGCGTTAATTTTCTTTTTGTTTGCCATTATATTTTTAATGTCAAACTAGTTATGAATTAGTTTGACTCAGAAATAAATTATAGATGTTTATATATATATATATGTATGTATATTTTACTTCAATTGGCTCATAAGCACAAGATTAATAAGTCAAAATTAAAAAAATAATAATCAAAAACTTTTAACTCTTTTTCTTTGGCTTTTTAGCCTTGTAAATAAAATATATTTTGGTTTATGTTTTATAACCAAAAAAAAAAAAAAATCATTGTTTAAAAATTATGAAGAACTCTTTATCTCGAAAATGCAAATTATAAACTCTTAGATGTACTTTTTAATTATTTTATCCAATTTTTAACTTCTAAATCATATTTTATTAAACACATATGACTCGTGAAGACTTTATAAATTGAATAAAAATTTATTAATTACACAATTTTTACTTAATTTTTAATAATTTATAATTTATTTAATGAAAATTCATATATAAATACTGTTTTATTAAATTCTCATTATTTATGAAGACATTATAAATTGAACAATAGTTTATTAACTAAATAAATTTTGCACTTAATATTTAAAATTTTATAATTTTTTAAATAAAAATTTATAAATTTATTAATCAGATGATAATTCAAATTGACTATAATATAATTTCTTAATAAGACATTCAGAATACAAAATTCACAACTTTAACCCATGTTCTCTTAAAAAATATTAAAAATATTTGCCATCCAATTGAAGAATTTATAAGATTAAAAAAATAAAAGAGCCCAAGAAGTTTTACTTTTTAGTATTATTTCGAATGCATTATATATAATAATCACATGCCACCCTCTTCCATTTCAAGGAAACATTTATTTATTTAATATGAGATAAGATGCCTCTTTTACTTTTTGTAATTATTTATATATTTTTACATATAAAAAACGTGCTTATCAATAATTATATATTTCTTACTTTTTTTAATTATTTGATTTTTAATATCATGTGCCAACTTTTAATGCTATTTTGTTTTCATTCTGTTTTGGGATATGTACTTACCTAAATATATATACATATATATTAAATTAATTTTTATATACTTATCAATCAGTCAATAACTAAGTAGTTATATTAGAAAATAAATTTAAATTAAACTATGCATCTTGTATATTTTAATTAAAAAATTGTAAAGATTATATATAGTATTATTAATCTCCATAATAGAAAGCTCATGAACCTGGCATAAGTGTAAGATAAAACGCAAGAAATATTACCTCAAAATAGAGTTCTCTGTCACACTCTCTTCGTATGTTCACAATTTTAAACATGTGCTCACTAGACTTGTTTGGTTCTTCATACATCAAACAATAATTATCTATTTGAACACTTTTTTGCTTTATTTTACTCCCACATATAAAATGTCTTTGCATAATTGTCAAATAAGATGTTTTTATCTTAGGTGAAATAGGAGTGTGTCAAATCTGCTTCCATAAAAAGAATAATCCCCTAAAAGTGAGCCACCCATTTCTCTTGGTCTATCATTTCATATTTGATAATATCTTGTCTTGATTTGTATAATTTTTATCCCTTGAAAATTCTAAAGTAAATTCATTTAGTAGTAACTTCGACTCAATAGATTCTTAGGATTTACTCTACTTTAAAAGAGTGAAATAAATGTTTGATTAAAGGCATATTACATACTGAAGTAGATGGATACATCATTTAGATACCATAATAGGATGATTTTTAAATGATCGTGGTGTCCATATACGACTTACTGTTTGACAAAGTAATCATCTTTTTCACCGATCTTGAATATTTTGGTATTGCCATTCAATCACAATCCCTCTCCTAAAAAGCTTGTTATTGCTAAAATGCTTCCCTAAATGTAACTTAGTATGGATTCCATTTGTTTGAAATAAAGTTACTATCTATTATATTGATAAAACAAAACTTAATACCAAAATAATAACAACACATCCTAGGACATAATATTTTTTAAGAAAGTTATACAATTAAAGATAAGCTAATAATATATAGATATGAATACAAGAAAGCAAAATCAATGTCTTAATACCCCTCTAATGCATCAAGCAAGACAAAAACAATACATTGTCATTATTAGCTCTTCCATTGTTCTTATAGTTTAAACAAAATCATTCATACAAAATCATGAAAGTATTGACAAACTTTAGTTAGCCCTTTGTGGGTTGAGGTTTTTCAGTTTAAAATGTTGTATTTTTTTTTTTACAACTCACTAACTCCATTTAAATGTTAATCAAAATAATTGATTATCTTAACAATAAATTTTTTTAAAAAAACATGTGACCACTTCCCAACTACATATGTAGACCCCTGTAAAAAAAAAAACAACAGTTAGTGCCTTCTTCCATCACTAAGGTCTGTTTAAGAAACTTTCTTGTCCTTTTCTCACGTATCACC